TAAAATAGCTTGTGTTTCCTCTTCAAGTTGATACGCTTCCACTCGGGCAACTTGTAGAACTCGATGGGACTCATTCCAAACAGTTTTTCAAACTCTTCCCGGGCTAGATGACGTTCCAAATGCTGTCTAAAAGTTGATCCTATACTTAGATGAATGAAATGACATCGTAGAATTGCTAGCGAAGGGCTTACCTGTCAGCATCTTCTGGTAATTTCTTGTTAGTTGTTTGCAGATCGGCAAGATCGTAAATCTTGGCAGGTTTACTCATATCAGGAAGGGAAGAGCGAAGTGTAGAGCGCATTTCTCCAACAGTTCGCATGCCAGTTCCTCCAATAGTGCCCGCCAGAGAGTCTGTGCAGAATTTTTTATTCTAGATTCTTTGGAGCGTGTATAAAATTAAAATAACAGCTATAAGAGAAAAAAGTGGTTTTCAACAAGGAAAACGTACGATCCGAAAAGTTGCTACTGATTGTAGTATCCAAGTTCTCCATAGATAAAGTTCCATAATTATATCCTGTAGGCAATGTGGCCGCCCTCATAGTACTTCCTACAACGTGAGATACAGATTGTATGCAATTGTCTCTATTACTGATGAATTTTAGGGTTTTCATTTCCAATAGAAGAACGGCATAATTTAGATGGTTGATCTAACAAAACTGGATAAGTCCCCTGGATACTGGATTATGGATTTCACGTTATGCGACTCTGTTCATTCTGCATTGCACTGCTGACATAAGGGTACACTGGAACTTTAGTTGGTTATCAGCGATCAGCCGATATTATCGCGCGATATCATAGGCCGATCCTGAACAATGGCGCAATACGTGTGCAGATTTATGTACTACGGTAAAATTCATATTTTCAAAAGTCGACAGTGGTGCGAAACGAGTGTGGTAGTGAGATACGCGTCACAGGTAATGGGGATCTCAGCATTTCCATACTTTATATGGAGGCATGCTAAACTTTAGCGCAACACTGAGAAACTACAACGAGAAGCATTTGGTGTACTGCAAGAGTCTCAATCAACTCATCTACTTTGCATGTGCAAATCTTTGAAAGTCCTATTTCAGAGAAGAAATTGTACAAAGATACGCCACAATGTTGAACAGTATAGCCACATCATTAAATATAAAATCACAACTACCTCGGCTTTCTGGAATGTGGAAGCAGGGCAATGTGTTCCCCTGTGATCGCTCTCCACCTTGCCAAGCAACCCAAGGCCGTGGACGATTAAGATGACGTGACGGTGCTGAACAGAAATTATGGCAGAACAGTTGAGAAAATGGATATAAACAAAAGGGTGGATATAAACAAAAAGGATAGATCTACCTGTAAAGCATAGTACCCTACTTAATTAGCCCAAGAAAATAGATTTCAAAAAAAAGACGTACATGCATTTATAGGAACGTCGTAACGGAAGCGAAGATGAGGCATCTTTTTTGCTGAT